ATTAGACCTTTAATCTAAAAACCGAAAGAACTGCGGATGCTGTAAAATAGAAACAAAAACAGAAATTGATAGAAAAGCTCAGCAGGTCTGGCAGCATCTGTGGAGAGAAATCAGAGTTAACGTTTCAGGTCTAGTGACCCTTCCTTAGAACTTCTCTCCACAAATGCTGCCAGACCTGCTGAGCTTTCCAGATCTTTCATCTATGCCATGTAGGTTGTGGAAAGACTTTGGATAGTCAAGAAATGAGTTAATCACTGCAGAATTCACAGACTCTGGCCTACTCTTTCAGCTACAGTATTTACATAGCTGATCCAGTCAAGTTTCTGATCATTGCTAACCCACAAAATGTTGGTAGGGGATTCAGCGATGATAATTCCATCAAATGTCAATGGACAGTGGTTAGATTCTTGTTTCACACGGTTATTCATTGGCACTTTTTTGAGGTATGAATGTTACTTGTCACAAATCACTCCAAACCTGAATATTGTGGAGGGTTTGCTGCATGCACTTATGGACTGCTTCAGGAAATGAGGAGTCACAAATGGAGCTGATTAATGTGCAGTCTTTAGTTAACATCCTACTTCTATGGTACTGATGGACGAAAGGTAATTTATGAAAAATTTGCGAATTATTGGGATAGGACAATAAGAACTCCTTCGGCAATGTCCTGGCACTAGATAATTAACTTCCAGTAATGAATACCCATCTTGCTTTGTGCTGGATATAACTCTGACAAGTGGAGAGTTTTTGCCCTAATTCTCATTAACTTCAACTTTTGATGCCATACTCAATCTAACGCTGTCTTGATATCCAAGGCAGCTACTCTCATTTCAGCTCTACACTTCATTTGGTTTGTCCATGTTGGAACAATGTTATAATGAAGCTGAGAACTGAGTGAGTCTGGTTGAACCATTCCAAACGTTGGTGAACTGGTCATTGGTGAGTAATCAGGACTATTGAGTTTTCCCTTTGTCCATTCCCATCCACATTTTTACTGGAACATGACTATTGGGAATTGATCCTTCCAGATTCTTTCCCATTCAATTTATCCGTCCTGCTGCTGGTCATGTAGGGTCTGGGTAGGATGAGCCTTGGAAGGCCTGTGCCAAGTGGTCTCTTTCTGTACAGTAGGGATTCTATCCCCATGATCATTGCATTTGTACATGAATGTACCTCTTACTCTAGGAGTGAGTAAATGAATTTTAAGTGACCCAGCAGCGAAGGCTTTTGTACCTAAAAGGAAAGTTTAATTTATTTCACACTGTCAGTTCTGAGGTAACTAAGGAAATTAGGCCACACACGTGCATGCGTGCATACACTCAACATGCACGCACACACTCACACATACACTTGCCGCACACTCACACATATATGCTCATGCATACACACATGCTTATGTTTTCACTTGCGTGCACACACTCACACACAAATACACAATACATGCTAGCACATGCACACATACACATACACACTTGTGCACACACACTCATAGTACATGCATAAGCACTCACGCATGCCTGCATACACACTTGCTTGTGCAAGCACACTCACAAAAATTTAAACAGTTCTTATAAAAAGTTTAGTCTCTATTGATTGAAGCTGGTGTTTTATAAATCGAGATGTTGTATTTTGTTGCAGCATTTCCTCAGTAACAGTGATGTCTGTCATAGTTGAATTTCCAGAAGTTTCTTTCACAAGCAAGCTTAGTATTTGGAAGAGAATAAAGGTGAGAGAGGATTCGGCGTTCTTTGGTTATGCAGGCTAGGCACTTTGGGTTGCTGGAGTGCTTACAGCTGATCAGTGCTTTTCCTCTCTTGCAATATCATGATTGCCCATTGGTATTGGGAAGGTTTATGAGCAGTGGCAAGTTTAACTAATAACTAAGGAAACGCCCTGCTTCTCAGGCCCTGGAAAATCATTTCTGCTGGATGGGTCATCTGTTGCAGCAGCTTGAGCACTGGGTTTTGGAACTTGAACAGCAACTGGCATCAGTGTGAGATATCCACGAGGTTAAGAGCTACATGGACAGCAGATTTAAAGATATGGTCACCCCACAACTTAAGAGTATTCCGACAAAAAGGTGAGCAGTCAAAAGAGAACGGGTGTATAGTGCTGGAGTCCCATAAGCATGTCCCACTCTCCAACCAATATTCTAATATGAAAACTGATGATGGTGATGGGTCATGTGGGGAAAGTAGCCAGAGCCAAGACCATGGCACCATGGTTGCCTAGACATCATGGGGGGGTGGCTACAAGGAGGACTGGAAGAAGAATAGTGATGGGGATTTGATGGGGGAATAGATAGGTATTTCTGTAATCGCACAAGTGAATACAGGATAATGTGTTGCCACAGTCAAGGATATCACTGATGCAGAGCAACCAAAGGGGGAGCAGTAACCATCTACATTAGTACGAATGAAACAGGTAAAAAGAGAGATGTGGTCCTACATTCAGAATTTAGGGGATGAGGTAGGATATTAGCAAGCAAAACCTCAAAAGTAATCATCTCCGCATTGCCTCCTAATGCCATGTGCATGTGAGTAAATAAATAGGAGGAGAAGACTATTGGGTAGGTGGTTGGAGGTAGCTGGTAGAGGAGGAGTCTTTGATTCCTGGGATGTTGAGCTCAGCTTTGGGGGAAATCAGACTGGTAAAAGCCAAACGGTTTGCATTGCTACAGAGCGAAGTCTAAGTTCTAAAATTGTTTTGCTAGTACAATTGAGAGGGTTTAAATTAATTTCGCCAGGGTCTGGGAGCTAAGAGACATTGTCAGAAAGGAAAAGCAACATGTAGAAAATGCTGGGAATGATAGGTATGACCAGAATAAGGAATTGTAATAGGGTGGGGTTGGAGTTAGGTACAATTACATTGCTCTTTGTTTTGTGATATAGGTAAGAAAACTAAAATTGAGAAAACAACATTTTAACATAAAATAATAGCAGAAATAATGTGGTTGTAGCTCAGTCAGAATTGACAATTTTATACTCCTAGTCATAGAGTCATACAGCGCGGAAACAGACCCTTCAGTCCAACCAGTCCATGCTAACCATGTTCCCAAACTAAACTAGTCCCACCTGCCTGTGCTTGGCTCATATCCCTCCAAACCTTTCTTATCCATGAACTTATCCAAACGTCTTTTAAACGTTATAACTGTACCTGCATCCACCATTTTCTCTGGCAGTTCATTCCACACACTAACCACACTCTATGTAAAACGTTGGCCCTCGTGTCGTTTTTAAATTTGTATCCTCTCACCTTAAAAATATGCCTTGTTTTGAACTCCTCGACCCTAGGGAAAAAAAGCCTTATCTATGCCCCTCATGATTTTATAAACGTTAATAAGGTCACCACTCAATCTCCTACATTCCAGTGAAAAAGTCCCATCCTTCCCAGTCTATGTTTGTACTTCAAACCCTCCATTCCCGGCAAACATCCTGGTACATATTTTCTGAACCCTTTCCAGTCTAATGATATCCTTCCTATCTCAGGGCGACCAGAACTGCACACAGTACACCAGAAGAGGCCTCACCAAGGTTCTGTACAACCTCAACATGACGCCCCAACTCCTATACCCAAAGGTTCCTTGACATAAAATTTTATAGTGGGTTAGGGAAGGGAGAAGGACTAGAACTATCACATAGCAGTAGAAGTGCATAAGGATTTAAGTAGAAATACTGTAAGCTGTTCAGTGACATTCCTGGAAATACATTTCAGAATGTACAAATAGTGGACAGAAAATTGAGAATTAGATCATGGATAAAATGGAGACAACTCTATTCCAACATAATCATTGAAGATGACTATTTAACTGTCCAGAAAAGGGAAATTATAATGCAAAAGGAGATTTGTGAATGAATAGGAAAATATTTAACAGGTAGATGACACAGAAAGACAGGACAAAGGTAAATATTACGTGAAATAGAGAGAGCAGGAAAACATATTGGCACAAGATAAAAAGTAAATTATAGATATTAAATCCACTTAGAAAATAAAGAGGCAGACACATAGAGAACAGTAATGGAGTGGTAGATGCTGTGTTAATATATTACTATTATTTTCATGGAGAATACGGATTATGGAATTATACTTTTAGCTAGCTGGATAGGCATAAAATCACCTCACGACTCCTTAGGTATTTTTTAAAAAGTAATTAGATTGTTGTGTGAGAAATAAAAATTAAAGTTATGGGACACAAGTTTAAAACTAAGTGAACCTCAGGGGGAAGCCAATGTTAGAAAGTTGAATTAGAAAGGTAAGAGCCTTTTACACTGTAAAATTCTGATTCTTTAGGTCAGAACCAAATCTTCTGTGTTTTCAGATGTAAGGTGCAGTGGTTTCAAATAGCTGTTGGATGATAAAACAGGAAAATTTGTATGCAGGAGGGATGACTTCCACTAAGTTATAAAGCACGTTTACATGTTAATTTTCTTATGTTTTTCTCAGTGGTCACGAGCAAGCAAAGTGCTGAAGAACATTTTCATCAAAACACAATATTAAAGTACACCTCACACTATTTAGTTTGCTCTGAATAATGTTTTTCGAGGAATATGCTACAAGAATCCCCTGTTGAAATGTTTTACTTCTACAATGTAATTCAAACATAACAATGAAGTCTGAATTATTCACTTTATTCTCTTTTACTACAGATTTGCAAATGTTTTTATTTCCGTATTCCTCGTCTTATAAATGTTATTGTGTCTATACATTCATATGTGTTTTATCACTGCTTTGTGATCTTCTCTTACAAATTATTCCTGGATATTTGAGACACTTTACTGAGAGGTGACAATGGATGAAGTGTTCTAAGCAAAGTGCTTGAAGTTGTTTTGCATTTTAAAACTCAACACTTTCTGTCTTCTTTGAACTTGCCTCCTCAGCTGTGAATCTGCAAGCTGTCACTTCTCTACACACTATATATGAAAAAAGTCCTTCGCTAACACTGTCAGTCATCTGCCCTGTCCACAGGCTCCCACTATCAGCTAAGACCTGCTTAGTCCACGATGGACACTCTTCTGAAAACTCTGCTCGAAATGGATGATAATTTTGGTCTGATTAATATGGGAATGGATTCAGACGTTAGCTGGAGAGCTGAAGTAGACAACTTGGAGCCACGTCGAGTTCCATCACCTCATGGTTTCTCACCAGCATCACCATCCGAATCCTTCTATTCTCCTGTTCCTCATCTCTCAAAGGGGACAAGCAGTCCACCAAGAAACGAGCTCTTCTTGCAGTCCTTTCCACAAACCTGTACCATTGAAGAGAATTGTACATCATTCCGGAGGTCTCAGGGATTGACCAACAAGAAGATGTCAGGAAAGCGCAGAATGAAAGCGAGTGAGAGGGAGAAACTGCGAATGAGGAGGCTCGCTAGTGCTCTTCATACTCTGCGAAGTTTTTTACCACCTGTCTACAGCCAGAGAGGTCAGACTCTTACCAAAATTCAAACTCTGCACTGTGCCATCCGGTATATTTCTGAACTTTCCACTTTATTGGCACAAGGAAGATATAATGACCCTGTGCATAGTATATAGAATTAAATAGTTTATGAGACATCCCTTAATGGTAATTGGACTAGAATTAATGCTTTTCGTAAATTTCAATGAGTTCAGAATTAGTGTATTACTGTCTCCTTGTTTTCACTATTTAATATTATTGTACCACTGTTGTTGCTACAGTATGTATTTCTTTATGTATATATATCAGATTTTATAGTTGCATTACCAAAGATATTGAATGAAAAGCATGAAATCAAAAGCTTGAGATTGTTTAATTGAAATTTATCTGACTATAGTTATGATTATTTTAGGCTTAATTTTGAATTGTGTGAAAAATAAAGGCTGAAACAATGAACTTAAAGCAGATGAAATGTCTTCTGTGGTCACTTCAAAACTTGGTTTTTATTTCAGATGATGTCCCTACTTGCTAGCTGTGAACTGTTGTTCATAGGAATTTCCATTAACCATGTTAAAATCACTATATTAGTTTCTATTAAAAGTTAATGGACAGAACTTTCTGAGGGTCTGTGTGACTGACAAGGTCATGGATGGAATTATTGGATTAGTGTATAATGTTTGTTTTGTCATACTGTTTTCCATTCACATTAACGTTAATGGTTGAAATATCATGTGCGCTGCGGCATTGACTTTCTGATATGTCTCCACAGTCTGTGAAGTGCAGCTTGTAACACAGGGCTTCCAGGGCACTCCCCCTCTTTATTCTAAGCTTGGACCCAACATTGAGTTTGATTTCAGTCAATAACACAAGAACTACTCATTTGTGCCTTTTTCTGTCAGTCTTCTTTTCTCAAAATTTATTTGGAACAGCGACTTGATGCAGCAGTTGTGGAAGAGTTGTGGACTCTTCATTGACTGCAGGATGATTTTACATGGGGAGCATGGTGCTGGGGGATAAAGAAGAGGAATAAAAAGTAAAAAAATATTTTTTTGGAAAACTTACTTTCCAACTGGAGTATATAAGAACTTAAGAACTAGGAGCAGGAATAGGCAATTCAGCCCCTCAAACCCGTTCTACCATTTAATATGATCATGGCTGACCTCAGCTCAGCCACAATTCCACTTTCCTACCCACTCCCCAGAACTCTTCAGTCTGTTATTAATTAAAAACCTATTAGTTAATCCTTAAATTTACTCAATGTTCCAGCATCCATCACACTCTGGACTAGTGAATTCCACAGAGTCACAACCCTTTGATTAATTGATTAATTAAGTAATTTCTCCCATGTTTTAGTCTGTTACACCTTTTCCTAAAACCTATGACCTGTCATTCTAGATTACTCCAAATGAGGAAGCGTCCTTTATACATCAATGTTGTCAATCCCCTTTAGCATCTTCTTTACCTCGATTAGATTTTCTACCGTTCTTCTAAACTCCAGACAGCACAGGCCTAAAATTGCTCAATCTCTCTACATTAGAAAAACCCTTCATTTCTGGAATCAATCTAGTGAATCTTCTCTGAACTGCCTCCAATGCAACTACATTCCTCTTCAAGGAGAGGGACCAAAATTGTATGCAAGACACCAGGTGTGGTCTCACTAATATCTTGTACAGTTACAGTAACACTTCCCTACTTTCAAATTCTACTCTGTTAGCAATTAATGCCGAATTCCATTTGCCTTTCTTATTATCTACTGTGCCTGCATACTAGTTTTCTGCAATTCATGCATGAGGACACCCAGATCCCTCTGCACTAAGGCATTCTGAAGTTTCACCTGAATTAGATAATAAGTTGCCTTCTTTCAACCAAACTGGATAACCTCACACTTAACCACGTTAAATTTAATCTGCCAAATTTTGGTCCATTCATTTTACCTATCCATATCCATTTGTAAACTTCTTATTTTTTCATTACAATTTACTTTCCCACCTATTTTAGTGTCTATGGCAAATTTGGCTATTTCTATCCCCATATCCAAGTCATTAACATAGGTTGTAAATAGTTGGGCCCAAGGACTGAACCCTGTGGCACCCGACTAGTTACATCTTGCCAACCAGTAAAAGACCTAGTTAGCCAATCGCCTTCCCAACCTCAGGCGACGCACATTTTATTTTTACATGTGATGTGGACATCGCAGGCTAGGATTTATTGTCTGTTCCTAATTTTCCCTTGATCTAAATGGTTTGTCAGGGTTATTTCAGAGGGCAGTTAAAAATCAATCATACTGCTGTGGGTCTGGAGTCACAGAATCCCTATAGTGTGGAAACAGGCCCTTCGGCCCAACAAGTCCACACCAACACTCAGAGCATTCCACCCAGACCCATTCCCCTATAACCCACCTAATCTACACATCCGTAAACTCTACAGGCAATTTAGCATGGCCAATCCACCCAGCCTGCACATCTTTGGACTGTGGCAGGAAACCCATGCAGACACAGGGAAAATGTGCAAACTCCACACAGACAGTCACCCAAGGGTTGAATCAAACCCAGGCCCCTGATGCTGTGAGACAGCAGTGCTAACCACTGAGCCACCATACTGCCATGTAGGTCAGACCAAGTAAATATGGCAGATTGGCTTCCCTACAGGGCATTAGTGAACCAGATATTTTCTTAACCACAATTAATAATTATTGCATGGTCACCATGAAGCCAGGTTTAATTCCACACTTTAAAAATTCAAATTTCACCACCTGCTATGGTAGGATTTGAACCATGTCCCCAGCAGATTACTAACCCAGTGCCATTACTACTATACCAACACTTCCCCTGAAGCTACTTGATGGGAAACCATAATTTGAAATGTCATTTGTTCTCTTTGGCCTCTTGGGGCTTTGCTGAATGTGTGGAATTCAGTGAGGCCACATTTGTTGCATCTTCAATGTCATATTGGCCATGAAGAATCCTTTATTTCCAATGTTTCAATTTCTTCTTCATGAAGGGCAGTTTTATTTTATAACTTATACATTTTCCCTATATATTATGGCATATCATTTCCGCGTCTGTCCCAAATGGAAAACTGTGTTCTAAATTAATATTGTTGAAAATGTGTTAATCAGCAAAAATAAGGACTTCTAATGATGCTGTCCAAACCTTTAACTGTGAGTAACCTGATTTGTCGGAGGACCTGGGTGAGCTGACTCAAAGTTGTAGAACCCTATCGATGAAGTTTGCTCACTTTTGCTCTGGTATCTGAGTGTCCAACTCCCTCCATAGATGGGTTGTTATGAAGAGCAAGGTCCAACACACAGAGTTTGCTGGATGCACAAACACACAGAGCTGCCCTCCATCACTGTATACATTGGTGTTCAGCTCCAACTGCAAGACAACAAGGAGAAGGAGAGGTGCCTGTAGGCCCCTCAGCAACAGGCCCCTCTTCCAGAAATCGCCACTCCAGAGGTGGTCAGGTCTACCACCTCCACCTTCAGCCCTTTGTAAGTTTAAGCCATTGAGGATACACCTACCTCTGAGTAGGAAATACTCAGCATGTCTGGGGCCTGTACCACAAACATCCTCGGAGTGGCCTGACCAAAAATCCAAGGCCAATTGGGTCAACTGTAGTGTGGGCTTCCTCTACCCCAGGACTGCACTGAGACCTATTGAGAGGGATGGCTGAGCAGGAGAAATTCCAACAGAGGTTTACTGTTCAAGGCTCCATTAAATAAACCTGGTTGACTGATCATCAATGGGGCTGAGAGGTATTGATGACTTGGCTAGCTTAGTTATCAGGTTACTTCATTTGCCATATTTGACACTGTTCCAATGTCCCATTTTCAGACATGACCCAAGCACACCACATTCTCTTTTCCATACAGAGAGACATGTACACAACTGTCCAAGGTTAGAGCCCTTCAGACAGATAGCAGATGTTAAAAATTCCTCATGAGTAGTAGCAGCCGAACTCATCGTTCGCGTGCACTCCATGACTACTGGATGGATGCACACCAGATTTCATGATACAGGACTTATACCATTGAGGCATACGCCACTTCAGCAATGGTCATATACTTGCTGCAATCCAATTGTAGCTTACACTATATTAAATATGGAACCATGAAGAAAATAGTGACAAGCCAATATTAAATCAGTCCAAAAGCACAAATGAGGCTTCAGAATCAAAACTAAAAGCAAAATGCTGTGGATACTGGAAATCTGAAACAAACTCAGAAAATGGTGAAGAAATTCAGCAGCTCTGGCAATAACTGTGGAGAGAGAAGCAGAGGTAACATTCCATAGAATCCCTATATTGCAGAAACAGGCCATTTGGCCCATCAAGTCTGCATTAACCCTTCAAAGACCATCCCATCCAGACCCAGCACCACCTACCCTACTCCCACATTTAGCATGGTCAATCCACCTAAACTGCGCATCTCTGGACTGTGATGGAAACCAGAGCACCTCAGGGAAACCCACACAGACATAAGGAGAATGTGCAAACCCCGCACAGACAGTCACCCAAGGTTGGCGATATGAACCCAGGCCCCTAGTGCGGTGAGATAGCAGGGTAATCACTGATCCACTGTGTTATCCTAAGTCCAGCATGACTCTCAGCCAGAACTCAGTTCTGAAGAATTCATACTGGATTCAAAATGTTAACTGTTTCTTTCACCACATATGCCACCAGACCTGCTGTGTTTCTCTGTATTCTCTATTTTTGTTCAAGAGTCATAACATTGATACAGCAAATTCTTAATTCCAATTCAAAATTGTTTTGCTATGAAAACATTATCAATTTATTGTCACCAGCCATTCACCTTATCTATATCCCTCATGATTCTGTAAACGTCTGTAAGGTCACCCCTCAACTTCCTACACTCCAGTGAAAAAAGTGAATCTGGGTGTTAGCAGTTGTATAAATACAAAGGAAAAGCCTATTGTTTGTGCTGTAAAATAGGCTTTCAATTTGTTAGCAGTTATTCCAAACTACAACCAAAAAGCTAATTTCATCTCTGTTGTTTCACTTAATATTTAAATACTCCTCCTTAATTAATTAGGCCCCTCCTATCTTTTACAGAGGGTAGTATTAATAACTGATCTAGTCTCCAGATTAAAAATGCCTTTTCTGATGATTGAAAGTT